TAATTACTAAAGAACACTATGTTAATTTTTCTCGCTGAAATCAAATACGATTCTTCTCATTTTGGAAAATGATGAAGTGTGTACTTGGTTTTCTTATCAAATAGTTATGTCTGGTCGGAAACGAAGAAGAATCTCATTGGGAAATCGATATTGACTAGATCATTTCTTTTTCCAAATCAAAATTCGTGGTTTATTAGCTAACAACGGATGCATATATGAATAATAGATGACATGTTTAATGATTATGAATACTCCTCGACATGTTCTTCTCGTTCTTTCACTGTGTTCGCATTTTGCGTATTCTAAGCATTGAATTCTAATGTAAAATATTCTTTTTCTTATTGATTAATCCAAACAAGTCCTTTTTTTGCCTATTCAAAACATAGATGGATATGTAACATTAACATATTAGATATTAGAATGTCGTTTCCCATTAGATTCCTTGGAGAATTGATTTGTATTAGTGACTAGGACGTAAGAAACCAAACTAATCTTTATTATTAGAAAAAACGTCATTCCTAGGTCGATTCTCGAGTGAATCGATCAGTATACAGATGTGTTTAATTGAATCAATCTATAGATAGAGGGAAGAAAGCGGAACGGTTGTTCGACTTTCATTAGTTAGCAGTGAGCAAATTGAATTTCTGACATCTCTTTACTATTCTGCATCCGAAATGCCGCTCATTTATTCTCGATTCTTCTTCTCTCTAACTGGTTCCTTCTTCAACGTTGGATTTGTTTGTTTGATTGAATTTGTGATTGAGATTTCTTTAACAGTCATTACGTCAACGACATACATTTGTTTGTTCCCAACCAATGCGCTAAAGAAACAACAGACAAAGAACATTCCGATTAATTTAGTTTTTCTCCTTGGGTCACGAATCCAGTTCACAAGTGTATCGAAAGAAAAACTTTTCTTTGATTCATCAGAGAATTTTTCTCTCTCACAACCCGGATGCTGGTACTCAATAATAATGAGGAAAAAATAACGATAAATATCGGCAATGGCTGAGTGTACACATAGACAAAGAAGTAAACTATTGTTATCTTTGCCATTTTTACACGTCAACAGAAACTAAAATTCATTATTCAATGTATTAGTTTATGACACACACGAATGGTGCATGTCTAAAACACGTAACGAATGAGCATGACGAAGAGGGAATACACAATAGTAGTATATAAGAAGAAAAAAGAACCACAGAGAGAGAGAGAGAATCGAAT